CCGGGAACAGGCAAAAGTTTGGTTTGTACTGTCGTCCTCATCCCTACTCTCGACAACTAAAACCCAGAGGATCATCCAAATGGTCATTGTATTTGTCCCTTACATTTGGTGACCAAGTGGAGAAGGACCCCCTTATTATATCAGTGTCTGTGTAGTGATCCCTTACATTGGTGACCCATATGGGAGAAGGACCCCCTTATATCAGTGGTCAGTGTAGTGGTCCCTTACATTGGTGACCAATGGGAGAAGGACCCCCTTATATCAATGGTCAGTGTAGGCATACCCCAAACGCTATCCCCACTCCAGTCAATCCTAAACTCAGCGGCTAGACTCATCCCCTCACCCCCCAACCCCCCCCCCCCCCTCCCCCCCCCCCCCCCCCCCCCCCCCCCCCCAACAGTAATACGTCGCCCCCCACGGCGTCAGACCCCCAGACCTTCCACCAAACTCGTGACCCGAAGGGGACCAAGCCGATCTAAAACCACCGGTGTGATGTGCGTTAAACCCCCAGGCCCCACCCAGCTTGCACCCTACTTAACAGCGATTGCCCCTAGGATAATGGTTCTACAATCGGTGCCTGCAGCCTGAATGCGCTTGTTTACTGGGTCGGGTTAATTACGCAACTAACCCTCTAACTACTGCCACCCCAACCACTTTTGTCGGAGACGGGGAAACTCCCGTTATCAAACATACACTATAATGAATGAAATATTGATGTATATAGCACGGCCCGCAGGACCTACTATACAGAGATATAACAAACAGTAGCGTCTCTTCAAAGGCCAAGGGATTCGTGAATTGCAAGTAAGCGCTTAGAAACAGTTTAACACTTTCAGAAAGAAAGATTTATTACTAAAAGCGTCAGACAGATGCAAATAAATATTTACAAAGAGATGTCACAAAAATATATATATATGTACATAAAGACACAGCAAAGAGATTATTAGGAAGAAGATTACCGGGTTTGTTAAGTTACTTGCCCATATGCCTGGGTTTTGCAAAGCCAAGATGCAGAGCAGAAAGGTTCTTTGATCTCCTCTGTTACGATGTGTGTGAGTGTTGACAAGCTCTAACTCTCTTGAAAGTCCCTCTCAAGGGGAGGGGGGGGGGCTCTGACTACACGTTTTGGGAGTGGTCATTGGGGAACTCTAAACTTAAACTACCAGCTTCATATCCCATTGTATGAACCATACAGTTGACCTGAGGAATGTTCAGTTTTTTCGGGTCAGTTTGATAAGGTGTGGGGCTTACATAGCTTTGGGGGGTGACCAAAGTGAAACGTTCGTAGACAGCGTGTCTCCACTTCTCATGTCTTTGGTTGTTCCACATCATCTGCCAGGAGATAAAGTCTGCCTCACAGGAATGCAAGGGGGGGATGTGAGGAATTATTCGAGGAAGACCTCAAATACAGCAAGGAAACAGGGGAACTCCCCCCACTTCCAGCTCTGATGAGCTAGTTTGGTTACAAAAGCAAAGGTTGAAGGAGAACTCCGCTTCCAGCTCTGAGGAGCTAGTTTGCTACACAACCCACCATCCCTTCCGTCCTAGACTGTAAGCTTGAAAGAGCAGGACCCTCGCACCCTCGTGTAGTGTATTGTTACTGTCTTGTCTCATGTTCTGTCCCCCCCCCCCTCCAACAACTCCCGTTACTGTACAGTGCTGAGCATACCCTTTGCGCTATATAAAATACTGGTTAATAATAATAATCCTAACAGGAGTTCTGTCATTTTTCAGGATGTCAGGAAAAACATTTCCTCCGTCATGTTCATGTTGTGTCAGTAATATAAAAGTCACGGAGGGGTTGGGAACCCTGCAAGGGGGCAGAGATATGTGACTGCCTAGTCCAGCCTTTCTCAGCCAGGGTTCTCCTCCAAAGGGTTCTAGGGCTTCCTTGTCACTTCATTGGGCTGTATATGGAAGTGTCACCGACCAGCCGTTTCTGGATACACAGCTTTGTCATCATTGCACACACACAGGATTTTGTTTTTCATTCAATACATTTTTTTTATTATAATTTTACATTTAACAAGATTGAAGCATAAAAATCAGGAAATAGTAAAGGCAGAAATCCGATTGGTCAGGAAGATCCCTTGTCTGGATATGTGGGGGCGGAGTCATTATTATTGGTGTACAATACAATACACAACTCGTGTTCCATTATTATAACAAAATATTGTAGAAAAAGATCCCAACATAGAAAATGGGGGAAAGGAGGGAAATAAAGGCGGATATGAAGGGGAATCTGTGTACGGGGGTGCGAACACCTTAACAATCACCACCATTTTATTCTCCAGGGCGCCCCTCTGATGTCACAGAATAGATGTTTGGGGGTTTATCTCATCTTCAGGACCAAAAATCTGCATTTTTCCCATGTGTGCAAAAATCATGCAGAAACAGCTCTGGCAGTCTGAGAGGGTTAAGTGTGGGCTAGATGGGATCACTACTCTGGGGTGACATTAGAGCTCCCCCGAGCTGACAGCCTGGGGTAATAACATTGCTGGGAGGTCTCTTCATTTCTCTACTGCCATCCTTCTTCCCGTGTCTTATAAAACGTCTCCTGACATTTGGGGGGTCTTATTCATAGAATGTTTGTATAGCAATTCCCTCAGTGAGAGTTCATGTCCCATTCCTCCTGTGTGAATGGGGGAAACCAATTGTTATTAGGATCACATTCTGAGCTGCTGGAATGTCTTCCATTCATGGAAAATACATTGAAAACTTCTTCTCCTGCCATCAATGGCCAACCCGGAACCCACACTTCATCCATGTCTTTGGGGGGGCCTCTGATCTCCTTATGGACTGTTTCTTCCATGATGAAGATCAGCCATGGGAGTATATCTGAGGTGTATATCAGGGTGTGCATCTTCCTCACATGAGAGCTGAGATGTCCAGCAACATTCATCTAGAAGACATTTTCCGCACTCAAGGCACTAATACACCTCCAGGGTTGTGGTGGGACCCCCTGATGTACAGGAAGACAGGACTTCAGTGAGGAACATTTCCACTCACTCAGGCAGGAAAGTGGCTTCTCCCCCGTGTGAGATCTCTGATGTTTGTAAAGACTAGGACTTCTGAGAAAACATTTCCCACACTCAGGACAGAAAATCATACGGCTTCTCCCCCGTGTGAGATCTCTGATGTTTATAAAGACTAGACTTCTGAGAAAAACATTTCCTCCCACACTCAGGACAAGGAATATAGCTTTTCCCCTGTGTGCAATCTCTGATGTGTCTGAAGACTGTACTTCTCTGAAAAACATTTCCCTGCACATCAGGACAGGAATACGGTTCTTCTCCCCCGTATGAGATCTGATGTTGTGTGTGAAGATGGAACTTCCGTGAAAAAAACATTTCCCACACTCAGAACAGGAATACAGCTTCTTCCCATGACAGGAATACGGCTTTTCCCCGTATGAGATCTCTTATGTGTGTAAAGACTGGACTTAACTGAAAAACATTCCCGCACTCAGAACAGGAATACGGGCTTTTTCCCTGTGTGAGTTCTCTGATAGTTTTGTAAATCATAGGACTTCTCTGAAAAACATTTCCCACACTCAGGACAGGAATGTAGCTTCTGCCCCATGTGAGATCTCTGATGTGTATAAAGACTGGATTTCTGTGAAAAACATTTTCCCCCACACAGGACACAGAAGTAATATGGCTTCTCCCCTGTGTGAGATCTCTGATGTGTTTTAAGATTAGACATTTGTGAAAAACATTTCCCGCACTCGGGACAGGAATATGGTTTTTCACACCCGTGTGAGATCTTTTGTGCTCAATAAGAGGGAATTTAGAAGGAAAACATTTCCCCGCACTCAGGACAGGTATACGGCTTCTCCCCTGTGTGAGATCTCTGATGCTTGGAAAGACTGGACTTTAATGAAAAACATTTCCTGCACTCAGGACAGGAATACGGCTTCTCCCCGTGTGAGATCTCTGATGTTTGGAAAGACTGGACTTCCTCTCTAAAAAAACATTTCCCGCACTCAGGACAGGAATGTGGCTTTTCCCCCCGTGTGAGATCTCTGATGCTTAACAGTCCTGATTTGTATACAAAACATTTCCCCGCACTCAGGACATGAATATGGCTTCTCCCCCGAGTGAGATCTTTTATGCTCATTAGATGTGATTTAAAATTGAAACCCTTCCCGCACTCAGTGCAGGAGAAGCTCTTCCCTGTTGTTAGGCCGGCCCGGTCCCGAACAGTCTGAGGTTCCTCAGGATACGAGGATCCGATGGTCCATCTACACTGGGTGGTGCCGGGCGCCGATGGACATTGGAGGGAGCCGGGTTTTTCTCCTGGACTATACTGTGTGATGTCCTCATCTTCTACTTTCCAGTCTGGAGACAAAGTGAGACAATCCTCGGAGGTTTTCCTCATCTCCCGGCCATGGGGACTAAAAATACAAAGACAAAGAGGGATTACTAGACAGGAGCGTAGATTGGTTCCCCCAAACCAGGACTCCGCCCACATCAGGCAGCTTGGTCTTGAGGAGCTTACAATCCACCCTCAAGGGAACTAGGAAATGGCTCCTCTGATCTCCTAACACGAATTCTTCTGCGCTCTAGGACCCAGTCGGGTGGCACATAGAATGGAACCAGAACTGGAAAAACAGCAACCACCAGTGCTTTAAAAGGTTGTGCGGCTCCAAACAAGGGCTGGGTGCCCGACCAACACTACAGAGCGAAATAAAAACGAGAAGCGCACAACACCTTGCGCATTACCTCAGGTAAACACAAATTTATTAATAAGAAAGGTAACTCACAAACAGCGAATAAGAGCTCTGATGAAGAAGGTTTGGCCTTCGAAACGTGTCAGGCTGAAATGAGTGCTTACCCCCACGATGGTACTCGCGCGCTGGGCTCTCTATCTCTGAAGTCCCTGTGAGGACTTACATGCCTGATTTTATTCGCTGTTTGTGAGTACCTTTCTTATTAATAAATTTGTGTTTTACTGAGGTAAAGTGCGCAAGGTTTGTGCGCGTCTCGTTTTTATTTCGCTCTGTAGTCCTCTGATCTCCTACCAGGTCATTTCTTTATTCATGGACCTTAGTCAGAGAGTGAGGAACAACCAGAACTGTCTTTTATAGGAGGGACAGTGATGAGGGGATTATAGGACGAGGGTCCCCACCCCCCTCTATCACTCATCGCCATCTTCCCAACACAAGAAGTACTGCACTTCCTTATTTAGTCCATGATTTTGTCATGCAGAACAGCGGGGCTGAGCCCACCAGAGGTCAGAGAGTGAGGATGGGGGTGAGAACAAAACCAAGATGAAGACTGGACTGATCCTGAAGACCACCATCATTGGGGTAATTGACTCCTCCCTCATTATCACTTTCTGTTTAAGGGACCAAAGTTGGAGGATGTTTATCACATTACATTATTATCACCATGTAAAAGTCTGTGCTCCAATCACATCATCTGATATAAAATGTCCAGCTGGGAGGAAATGGGGGGAACAAAAGAGAATCCATATTATGTGTATATATAAGCAGTGGGGGGAGGGGCGAGGGGAGAGCAGAAATCAGGAGTATGGAATGTACAACATAGAGTATATAGTGCAGGGGTCAGGAGTATGTAATGTACAACATAGAGTATATAGTGCAGGGGTCAGGAGTATGTAATGTACAACATAGAATATATAGTGCAGGGGTCAGGAGTATGTAATGTAACAACAACATAGAGTATATAGTGCAGGGGTCAGGAGTATGTAATGTACAACATAGAGTATATAGTGCAGGGGTCAGGAGGGGACAGTGATGAGGGGATTATAGGATGAGGGTCTCCACCCCCTCTATCACTCATCACCATTTTCCCCCCAACACAAGAAGTACATAGTGTGGGGGGTCAGCAGTATGTAATACACAATATTAAAATGTTATAGTATAAGGATCAGGACTCATAATATTGGTATTCAGTAATCAGTGGAAGATTAAATGTTTACTGTAGACAAGTTGCAGAGATCCCCACACACCGCTGCCTCCCATCTCCTGAGACTGCAACTCAGTGACTTGGGTCTGAGACACTACAGACATATCCCTCCACCCCGGCACAGCCAGCAGACCACAGAGCAAGGAAACCCTGGGAGAAATGTTCTGTCAGAGATCTTACTAGACCCCGGATATGGGGGAGAAGACATTAGACACACACCCCAGGTGCCTAGGTCTAGTAATGTTACAGTGAAAATCCACATTTTGCTGCCAGCAGAACCCCAGAACCTCCATAAATCCAGTCTAGATACATAAATTGTGTCTGCAGCACAGAGAAGGAAGATTATCCGAGAGAAATCCAGGAATACAGGACGGGGAACACAGCTCCAGGAAAGTGACCAGGGGATTACAGGCTCATATATCACCCAGTCCCCGCCCTACTCTGGAACCAATCAGTGAGCAGTATGGGTGGAGGAATGGATTTAGTGTTCATGACCCACCTGTGCTGATCTCTGTAGGAGTGTCCTCCTCTATAAATGTCCCCGTTATTCCATCCTCCTCCATAGAAACTGCTGATCATCCCTCACATACGCCTCTTCTTCTTCTGCTTTCACCTCAAATTCTATATCGATTGGATCTCCACTCTAAATCAAGGAAATGATGAGAGAAAATATCATCTGTAAAATGTAAGGTCACAGAAACATCTACACATCATCTTTACAAGTCCATGTTCTAGATGCTCTCCATCCCACCAACCTTGTAATAGTGAGGGATGGTGTGACCTTCCTGTGTGGAATACAAGGAATACAGAGGACGGGGACATCTCTCTGGGGGGTTCCTGTAGCTGGATGACTCCACCATGGTGTCCTGGTACAGATCTTTGTGTTCTTTTAGAAGCTCTGACTCCTCCATCCCCCCCATCCTCATCCTCCTCCTCCTCTTTTATCTCTTCTTTAACCTCAACTTTAGGATCTCTCAGGTTTCCACTTGAATATATAATATAAAAATGACATCAATGGTAACAATGCAGATAATGTACAGATCCTAATGATACTATCAGTGATTGTTCCTCATCTACCTGATGATGGTGAGGGATGGTGTGTGACCTTCCTGTGTGGAATCCCGGGAATACAGAGGACGGGGACAACTCTCTGGTGGTTTCCTGTAGCTGGATGACTCCACCATGGTTGTCCTGGTACAGATCTTTGTGTCCCTTTAGAAGCTCTGACTCCTCCATCCCCCCATCCTCATCCTCCTCCTCTTTTATCTCTTCTTTAACCTCAACTTTAGGATCTCTCAGGTTTCCACTCTGAATATATAATAAAAAATGACATCAATGGTAACAATGCAGATAATGTACAGATCCTAATGATACTATCAGTGATTGTCCTCCATCTACCTGATGATGGTGAGGGATGGTGTGACCTTCCTGTGTGGAATCCCGGGGAATACAGAGGACGGGGACATCTCTCTGGTGGGTTCCCATGACTGGATCCATCTGTAGGAAACACACACACTGACTGAATCCATTGTTTCTATGTGTTTATCAGATGATGGGGGATCTAGGTGGATCCTCCGTACTGCTCTCTCCTTTACAATAAAGTCTCCTCTTACCCGGTGATGTGAGGGGCGGCTGATTGTCCATCATGACGTCCTTGTAGAGATCCTTGTGTCCTTCTAAATACTCCCACTCCTCCATGGAGAAATAGACAGTGACACCCTGACACCTTATAGGAACCTGACACACACAATGATACAGTCACCATCCAGACACATCCCTTGTCTGTTACTGGAGAATGTCCCAGAATTCCCGGCACCGCTCACCTCTCCTGTCAGCAGCTCAGTGATCTCTCTGGTGACTTCTAGAATCTTCTTCTTCTTTCTCTCTTCTATCAGGGAGGGAGGTGGAGGCAATGTGATGTCATATGATCTCCAGACTTCACAGGAGGAAAACTCTACATCTGAACACAAAGAGTCACATCAAATGATATATTCCCAGAATCCTCCTCACCTCTCCAGCCATTTCTCTGTTTTTTAAAGCCCCACTTCAGGCTGAGGTATAATTCCCCCCCACAGGACCCCACACTACGCAGGGTATAGGCTTGTTGCAGCATTCTGATGTCATTACATACAATGCAGGACCAACAGTCCCACTTTACATGTGAGGATACCAAGGGGCCCCACATCCTAAGAGCATCAGAAAAAAAGCCAGATGGAGGGACATTGGGGGGAGGAGCTGTGAGGTCAGTGTGATGTCATAGGATTCTCTGACTCTGGATGGAGGAACATTGGGAGGAGATGCTGTGAGGTCGGTGTGATGTCATAGGATTCTCTGACTCTGGATTGAGGGACATTTGGAGGAGGAGCTGTGAGGTCAGTGTGATGTCATAGGATTCTCTGACTCTGGATGGAGGGACATTGGGAGGAGGAGCTGTGAGATCAGTGTGATGTCATAGGATCCTCTGACTCTGGATAGAGGGACATTGGGAGGAGGAGCTGTGAGGTCAGTGTGATGTCATAGGATTCTCTGACTCTGGATGGAGGGACATTGGGAGGAGAGGCTGTGAGGTCGGTGTGATGTCATAGGACATATAGACTCTGGATGGAGGGACATTTGGATGGGGAGATTTGAGGGGTCCTCTATATAAGGCTCCCATGCAAACCAAATCATAGTTCCTGGGTGCGTCCTACCTCTCCTAAACTGAAGAGTGAACTTTGACCTTTACCATCCAGAAAATCTGTCCGGAATCTGTGGATGTAAGCTGTCATGTGATCAGGTGACGTGCGGAGGAACGGAGTGTAAATAGCAGACAATTGTCTCCAGAGCCCCTAATGGTGGGGATGGATTTGGCGGCGTGCTGGTGCCAAGTTTCCTCCCCCCAGGGTCACTGCAGGTGTGTGAGAAAAGCTGTGTAAGAGGATATGGAGGAGAGATGAGGAGGAGATCCAGGAATCAGGAGAAAGGTCAGGGCAGGCAACAGACGAGCGCATCCAAGAGACCAAGCCGGGGTCACTACACAGAAAATCAATCCAAGGAAACAACAGGCAGGACGAGGAATAGCAAGAAGGAGCTGAGAGACAAATGAGAATATTGCTCAGCCAATGGGAGATGATCTCAGCATGACTTCCATCATGAAGGAGATGAGGGGGAGGGGAGGAAGTCACTGAAGGTGACCATAGATCCATGGAAATTCAGCTGGTTCAGCAGGGATCGCTCACATTTCCATCCATGTGTGGCCACTGCCGGATAAAAGCCACTCCCCCAGCGGCGGCTGCAGCCAATAGCTTCAGTGCTGATCTGTGTATTCTGAGAGCGGAGGAGCCCCCCATTGTCAGAATACAAGAGTGCAGCGGGGAGGATTCCCCCATCCACCTCCAATGTGTGGATGGGGGAATCACTTCAGTTTTTATGGTCATCCCGCTGGCTGAACGATAAAACTGAACCATGTAGGCCAGCTTTGGGAGCAAATATATTATCATCAACTCCTCCCCCTGAAGGGGTTATCTGCATATTACCTCCTCTGCCGCCAGATCAAGGAATGTGGACTCTCTACTTCCTCATTCATGTAATGTCCTGTCTGTACCTGACATCACTTCCTGTCTGTACCTGACATCACTTCCTGTCTGTCCCTGACATCACTTCCTGTCTTCCATAGAGACTTCCTGTCTGGGTAGAAGTGAGATCCCCCACCTTGTGGAGCTCAGAGGAACTGCAGCCCCGAGAAGTGTCTGGTAGTGTGACCCCGGCCTTGTGCTGGGTGTGTATGGACTGTAGATCCTTATAGAGGGGTCACCTCCACTCCCACCAAGGGGGACAGAAATATATGACTGCTCAGGGGAGGGATTTTGGCTCCTTTGATTCTGCAGTAACATTGATTGCAGATTTAGTCCTGTAGAAGATCTGGTATATGGATACAAAGTCCCCCCAGCCCCAGAGTAAAGGGTGGAAATGGCTCCTGATCCCCAGATTTGGGCCATAATGTCATCACTATCCCCACCCCTTCCCGTATATTGCGGATGATAGGTCAGGGAGTTGTCATTCAGTGAGTTGTGTTGTCACATTTGGTCATCAGATTTGTTTTTTTCTGTGATCATTATACTTCATGCTAGACATTGATCTACATCATGGGACTTTTTTTTTTTACAATCTATATTTTTTGTGATTGAGTAGGATCCCTGCCCTTTCCTGGCCTGGCCGGCATGCTCACATAAGGGTCAGGTATAGAATGTTGGCAAGGACCTTCAGGAACATATCTCAGATAGTCTCTGTAAGGTGACCATAGACATGGAGGACACCAGCAATGGTTGGGATGTAACATACCCTGTAAAGGTGGCATGATATGACAGATATTCCTGGAATTCAATGTTCAGTATTACAGATACAGTGTTCTCTTCATTTAGTGGTCAGTAGAAGACAAATGGTCACAATATAAAAATCTGAATAGTTGGCTCTGGAGTGGAGCCTGAAGATTGGAGAGATGAACACCTGGATGGCAATAATGATCTGACATCCCTGTAGACATAGATACACATGAATGATCTTTCACCTTGCTGGCCAAAAGGAGTTGAGCACCGACATGGGTCAGGCACCACCTGGGAGGATGTACCAGAGCTAACCAGGAAAGCCAGTAAGAGCCCATGGGTTATCTGGTACTAGAGCTGGCCATTCTGGGGGAGGGTGCCACGACAGAATGGACACTTGCAGTTACTGAAGAAAAAAAAGACACACAGTGGGACACTGCAAAGAACAGAGCAGCTATCTCTGTGTCCATCCCTGTGGTAAGGGAAACCCCAAGAGTCTCCAGATAGTACTTTAGCCCTACCAAGAAAATACTAGAGATGTGGAAGAGTTCTTTCAGGACTTTGAACACCAATGCAAGCTGCTGGAAGTACCTCCCATGGACTGGACCTGCCATGTGGTAGGGCTTCTAGATGAAGGGGCCGCTGAGGCCTATCACATGATTGATCCCCTAAAGAAATGCAGCTATGAGTACATAAAAAGGGCAGGGATGGAAGCGGTATCACATAGTCTTATTGGGCCCAGTTTCAGACCAACCCTCACCTCCCAGAGACCTCTTTTTTCAAAATATTCATGCATAAGCTGTCTTTAGAGTGTCAACGATCACTGACGGGGGAGAAAGGACCTTCCCTGAGGAAATTATTCACATGAATCAGAAGGAGAAGTTCTTGTTCATGTCCCCCTGAGCTCCAACAGTGGGTGTATGAAAGGAAACCCATCACCCTAGAGCAGTGGTGGGCAACCTTTTTTTTCAACTGAGCCAAATCTCGCCAAAACCACGATTGAAATTTATTTTGAGAGCCACATTTTTAAAACTGAAAATACACCCCCCATATAGTAATTCATTCCCCATAGTAATTCATCCCCCATATAGTAATTCATCCCCCATATAGTAATTCATTCCCCATAGTAATTCATCCCCCATATAGTAATTCATCCCCCATAGTAATTAATCCCCCATATAGTAATTCATCCCCCATAGTAATTCATCCCCCATATAGTAATTCATCCCCCCATAGTAATTCATCCCCCATAGTAATTCATCCCCCCTATAGTAATTCATCCCCCATATAGTAATTCATCCCCCATATAGTAATTCATCCCCCATAGTAATTCATCCCCCCTATAGTAATTCATCCCCCATATAGAAATTAATCCCCCATATAGTAATTCATCCCCCCATAGTAATTAATTCATCCCCCATATAGTAATTCAATCCCCCATATATAGTAATTCATCCCCCATAGTAATTCATCCCCCATATAGTAATTCATCCCCCATAGTAATTCATCCCCCATATAGTAATTCATTCCCCATATTGTGTCAATTCACTTACCTTTGCTCCGCGCGTTCCTCTCGCCGTGTTCCCGCGCCGTTCCGGTCTTCAGGGCGGACTGTGAGAGGAGAGGAGTTCGTCACGCTGCCCCACCTACATCCTGACAGCCAATGTTTGCAACGCTCCGCGAGCCGGATTAAAAGGTCCGCTGGGCCGTAGTTTGCTCTTTGCTGGGCTAGCTGCAGAGTCCTGACTTTTGGGGCGGCCGCCCGAGAGGAGGGAGGGGAGCGGGCACCTGGCACACAGAAGAGCCACATTAAAGTGTGTAAAGAGCCGCATGTGGCTCGCGAGCCGCGGTTTGCCGACCACTGATCTAGAGGAAGCAGCGGCCTTAGCAGATGAGGCCCTCATGATTAATCCTCAATGACAGAAGACAGCTGCTGAGGTACCCCGAGTTGCCAGGATTCCCAGCCCCACATTTCTGCCTTCTATGCCTCCCCACTGCTGGATGACAATCCAGTTCCCCCTGCAGGCCCCCAGGCCTACTATAGAGAGACTCTGCTTTGGCTGCCCTGCTAAGAAACCTCTCCCAAGTCGGTGCACTGTGGATATGTACCAAGATTCTGAGGAAATGCCACTCCTACCCCAGCCCTCTGGTCACCCTTGGACTGCACACACTACAGATGTGGACAACCCAGGCATCTCCAGGCTAGATGCCCAAGAAGCTTCCACCCTCCCCAGACTCAAAACACTTGCCCTGATCCCAGTGTAGTGCTGGTGGCAGGAGGAGAGAGCCTTTCACCATCTCAAAGTGAATGGATTCTTCCAACAACAACCAGCACCCTTCTAGGAG